GCTCAACAGGGAGCAAATGGTGGCGCTCGCGGTGGCCGTGAACCCGAGGGTCAAGTTCAAGACCTAGGGCGAGTGCATTGACGGCGAGAAGGGGCTCACCTATGAGGGCTTGTTGAGGACCTACGATAACGGCACCGGCGACGTGGACCGCTACTTCAACGTGCTGGGCCTCGAGCTCAATTCCGCCGACGCCAAGAACAAGGAAGTGAGGTCGGGCTCGGACGAGGTGTCGTCGTCGATTGTTGACGAGAGGGCAATGGAGATGCAGAAGAAGCAGAGGACAGCAACTTGGGCTGGTGTCGCCTAACCATGGGGTGGCGTTTGCGGATGATTTGGAGATTTAGGTGAAGAGGTTGAAGGCGAAGGATGAAGAAGGTGAATGGCGGAAAGTGAAAGGGAGAAGAGAATGAAAAAACAAAAAAGAAAGAAAGAAACAGTCAACCCAAGCTGACGTGGGAAAAGAAGATAGACACGTGGATGACAAGTTGGAAAAAAATTGTCAACATTTGGACAGAAAATCAACCTAGGGCAGATTTGGGTTTAAAATAAAAGTTTGTGGTTTTTTATGAGACAAAAAAAAGTTTAAGGTAGATTTGGGACAACACCTAAAGTTTGGGGTTTTTTAGGGAATTAGGCCTCATATTGTATGCAGTAAATGTATATTTGCAATGGAATTTGTACAAGAATAGCACAAAGACTAGACTTTTTAGGAAAGATATCTTTAACACTTGAAATATACGAGGAAACCCCGAGTGCAGTTGGCCGCTTTAAAATTTGCCGCTAAAAGCCTGAGGCAAGATGCAGCCATCTTATATTGTATCGTTGATGTGGAAGATTAATAAGCTTATTAAGAAATGAGAAATAATGCAACTAAAATGTCCATATTATGGAACTGAGCAGACATTAGTGACTTACTTAGTGGGGATAGGATACTCGGGGAAGAACTTGGCGAGGATGTCCACCACCTCGCGACGGTGGAGCATGCTCTCTGAGCAGAGGTAGCGGCCGGAGGCCGAGGGAGTCTCGAACACAAGAATGTGAGCCAGGGCCGCGTCCTGAACATGTACATAAGCCTGAACCAAGTTGGCGTACGTCTTGGCCGAGCCCGTTAAGCACTTGAGGATGTGAACGGTGCTGGCATTGACCGTTGCCTGGAGCAACGGCCCAATCACCAGGGCTGGAGTCACCACCACCAGTTCCACTCCTTTCTCCTTCGCCAACTTCCATGCCGCCTGCTCTGCAACCACCTTCCCATAACAGTACCAGTTCTGCAATATTACGGTGATCGTCACTGGTCTAATTTATTGGATAGATAAATATGAAGCGGGATCGGCATCGTAGTCATTTACAGCAATTAGATCTTGCAGTAGAGAAGTATAAAACAAATAGATAGATGCGAAAAATGACCTTGGTTTTCTTGCAGAACTCTAGGTCGCTCCAGAACGACTCATCCACCACGGCATCGGGACTCCTGTTGGGATCCATGTAGACCGTACCTATCGAGGAAGTGAACACCATGCGTCGAACATTGGCCTTTGCAGCTGCGATCATCACGTTCTTGGTCCCGTTCACGGCTGGCTCCAACATTTGCTCCTACTCAATCACACAAAATACACCAAAATGTCACCACCTACATCAATCCATATCATACTTCATAACCAAAAAAAGATTCGTGTTCGAGTTTGTGTTCTCTAAGGATCAGTCGTCACAGAGCGGAGATGGAGTTGAAATTACACACTCACCGGATCATCAGTAAGCGGAGAGGCAGTGTGAAAGACGCCATGGCAACCACTGATGGCTTCCCTTAAACTCTTGCGGTCAAGCAGATCAGCCTTGCACAGAGTCAACCTCTCTTCAGCTCCATCAAGCTCTTTTAGATGGGCATTCTTGGGATCACCTGCAAGAAAACAACATCAATGCACTAGTGTCTACAAAACATTTGACAAATTGTACTGTCTCAAGTTAAACAGATGTGAGCAAAAAACAAACCGAACCAACCTGGATCCCTCATAGTGCCCTTGACACTGTATCCTTTTTCCAGGAGCAGTTTTACAATCCAAGAAGCAATGAAGCCCCCGGCACCGGTGACACACACCATTCGACTGGAAACACCCTGTGAGTTGTCGACCGGCATGCTGGATTATATACTAATGATAATGTCTTTCTGGCAAGTGAAAAGAGGAGAAATTTGGCAGATACCGGTAGGACGAACTTGTGCCGAGGCTAATTTGGCAAGCGATTGTTATATACTAAGAGAATGGGCTAGCTTAATAAAATCCACCTACCAAATCTAAAGATTCCACTACTCCTGTCATGATCTCTTTCTTATTTTGGTCATATCTATTGTAATCTGCTCATATGAGCTTTTTTTATGAAAAAAACAGATAGAGAATAAATGGAAAAACTATCCAAAAAGTCCTAAATCTACTACACTTTTGCCAATTCAATCCTAAATATTTTAATTGTGTCAATTGAGTTGTAAATCTTTTCACGTTTTACCAATTGAGTCCATTTGACCAATTTTGACCGACTATCGCTGGCGTGGACGTCGGTTGTCCCATGTGGCACGGTCGGTGCTCACCTTGATAATTTTTAATAATTTTTTCATATTTTTTATTTTTTATTTGCCCCATTTTTTCTTTTCTTCTCTTTTCTTCTTTAATTTTTTATTCATTTTCTCTTCTTCTTTTTCTTTTTCATTTTCCCCTCCGCTGGCCTCAGGTGAGGGCCACCCTCACCAAATCGGGCTAGGGCAACCCTCGCCTAAGGTCGGCAAAGAAAAAAAAAAGAAAGGAAGAGAAAAGGAAAACAAAGAAAAAAGTAAAGAAGGAAAAGAGAAAAAAGAAAAAACGGAAAAAATAAAGAAATTAATAAAAAAAATATTATTAATAATTATCCACATTAACGCCGGTCATGCCATGTAGGACGGGCAGCGTCCACGTCAGCGATTGCCAGCTAAAATTGATCAAATGAACTCAATTCCCTAAATGTGAAAATGTTTATAACTTAATTGACACAATTAAAAGATTTAAGATTCAATTAGCAAAAGTGCAATATGTTTGAGACTCTATGAATAATTTTGCTAAGAACAAAGAGAGATCATGTTTCATCTGATCATAGTGTATAATGCATCACTTCGAACACTAGGAAGAGAATGCAATTTTAGCTGGACTGATTCAATGCACATGACAGACTTTGAAATGAAATAATATGTAAGAATGAGAATGTCCAGGGAATAGATGATTTATCGATTACTATTGACTTCAAATGGGTCTAATTTGAAATTCTTCAAAGCACGGTCAATGCACGAATCCCTCGTCATTACTGTGTTGACGATGGATAAAGAACAACTATGACCATTATCTTAATGGTTTGGCACGTAGTCCATGACAAAACCCAATTCAAATTTGGAAAATTCTTCGGTCATTTCTAGTAATTTAGCACTTCATTTACCAAGGAAGGTACAGCTCTCATGGAATAGAGGCTGATCTATATCCATTTCCTTTTTACCCTGTTAGCAAGTACTACGTTGGAGAAAAGGCTGAACAAACAATTTAATCTAAGAGGAAACCAATTTAATCCCTCTGCAAAGCAATCAAACACGTTCATAATCATAAAGGATCATATAAATTTTCTATCCTTCATTCACTGTTTCTCCTTAAACTAATAAGGATACCACCAAACACAGGAAACTATACCTACTGTAAGATCAAACCTCAAATTATTTTTTTATGTTGCCAAAATCTTCGAACTTGTATAAACGTGACAGATATATCCTCCATCACAATTCCATTCAAGCTTACCATTTACAATTCTTATGTTGCAGTTTACGTAAACACCGATAAGCAAACGAAGCTGACTTTAATCAATGATGTATATATGATTTTTGGTGAAATGATACTAAGGATCGTACTTTATTTTAAGCATAAGAGACAAACTACTTTCTTTTAAGTGGGAAGCAATGCTATATATGTTAATATTCTGTATCAGTGCTTTGCTTAGTGGGTGTCGTTTAGGGTTTTTGATGCCATTTTCCCAACAAATGATGTCCTTAACCAGCCTGTGTATACTACATTTTTCGCTATCCGTATTTGGTGAGATGCCACAAACTATTTTAAGATCGTTTCCATTCTTAGAACGTGTGTTGTTAATATATAAGGCTCATCAATTTTCTATCCGAAAAGTATCAATTGAAATATCTACAAAATATTGTGGGACAATAAAGTAAGATCTCAAATCTTTTTGAAGTCGTGTATGAACCCCACTATGCCCATAATTTAAACTCCAAACAGCGCAAAACCTAGAAACGATTGATGCTTCCCACATAAATCTCCACTCTTTAGCAGACGAACATGGAGCAAGTTTCACATCGTTCTTACTTTACTCAATCTCATCATGCAAGATCAAGTGTCAGCACGTCACATCAAAAATATGATTATTGACCCGATATTTTATAATCGATACGGACTACAAAAATGTATGAAAATAAAAGCACTCCCTTTTAAGTACCGCGTTGACGGGCCAAATATGATCCACTCGAAATTCGAAAAGAGATCTTCCTTCTCGCTTTCGAAAAGGCCCTTCTTGAACTTTCGAAAGCATGATGGAATTTGACTTTGGAAAAATCTATCTCTGACCGTCTTTCAAATTCAAGAGAATTGAGTTCGGTCTCGTCTCGTCTTTTGTCACCGGCGCCGTCCCCATCTCTGAATCAGAGAAACTTTCCTTGTTCACAGTGTCTTGTTAATCTCTACCATGTCTGTCTTTCCATTTCTCTTCTGTTCTTCAGCAGCTAAAACATACATGAAAATCCTCCAAAGAAGAAGAAAATTAGAATCAGATCCCACTCCCACATGTTCTTCTCTCTCTCTCTCTCTCTCTCTTAACCACTCATCATTTCTCCTGTAGATTGTCTGGAGCAGGCGATTGCTTTTGCTGGGACCCCGACCTTTGTCGTGTCCTTTTTTTTTAGGTTCTTTGAGGCAGAAAAGGTTGTTTTTTAAAACGTCCGGAGACAAACCATCTCTCTCCCTCCACTTGTCTCGCATCACTGGTGCAGTATAAGCAATCTTTTCGAAAAAATAAGATCGGAAGCAGGAAAAAAAAATTTCAAATATTCTCCTTAAGCCGACCTAATGGACCCGACCCGTTGCAGCCGAACCCTAGAGAGAGAGAGATCGAGACGCTCTCTCGATTTCCAATTCGTGCCCCTCTCTCTCTCTCTCTCTCTCTCTCTCTCTCTCTCGTTTCAGGGTCAACACGAGTATCTTTTACTTTGATGCTTCAGCCGTCCCTTTTGTGAGGTGAGCTCAAGTTTCTGCGAATTTCGGTTCTCTTCTTTCTGTGCTTGCTGTTGTTGTTGTTGTGATTTGTTATCGTACTGGGGGTCGGAAAGCTCGTTTCTTGGTGCTTGGGGATTCATTTCCAGCTGAAAGCTCGAAACTTTGATGTGGTTCTGCTGCAGATCTGGTTAAGCAGAGGGTTTTCCCGCATAGATCCATCGGTGGCTTGTTACTTGGGCGCAAAAAGGCTTCGTTTTGGGACCTGGGTCTGTGTCGATTGGATCCTGTTGTCTCGCTTTTGTTAACTCGCAAGTGATGTCGTCGTCGATCAAGAGCGAGTCGATTCAAATTCGCGACGTGTGGGAGTATAATCTCGAGGAGGAATTCGAACGAATCCGCGAGATCGTCGATGATTATCCGTATGTAGCGATGGATACGGAGTTTCCGGGTATCGTCGTGCGGCCCGTGGGCAACTTCAAGAACTCGAGCGAGTTTCACTACCAGACTTTGAAGGAAAATGTGGATATATTGAAGCTGATCCAATTGGGCCTCACTTTTTCTGATGAGAGAGGGAACTTGCCGACTTGCGGATCAGATAAGTACTGCATTTGGCAGTTCAATTTCCGCGAGTTCAATGCGAATGAGGATTTCTTTGCGAACGATTCGATCGAGCTTTTGAAACAGAGTGGGATCGATTTCAAGAAGAATACCGAGAGGGGCATCGATGCTGTGCTATTTGGGGAGTTGCTGATGTCTTCTGGGATTGTGCTGAACGATAATGTTTATTGGGTAACCTTCCACAGCGGGTACGATTTCGGGTATCTGCTCAAGCTGTTGACTTGCCAATCCCTGCCAGACACTCAAGCGGGGTTCTTCAATTTGATCCATATGTATTTCCCGACATTGTACGATATCAAGCATCTCATGAAGTTCTGCAACAGTCTGCACGGAGGTCTCAACAAGCTTGCCGAGTTGTTGGAAGTCGAGAGAGTTGGGATATGTCACCAGGCAGGTTCGGATAGTCTGCTGACATCTTGTACTTTCAGGAAATTGAAAGAAAACTTCTTCAGTGGATCACTGGAGAAGTATTCTGGTGTGTTGTATGGTTTATGTGTCGAGAAAGTGTACTCAGTGAATGTAGGGAATGAACTTGAAATTTGAAAAACGTGTACCAGTTAAAAAAAGTGAAAAAATGAATGAATAGTTTTTGTAGGACTGTATGGTTGTGCCGCAGCTCTATGTATCCTGATGGCAAGTTACGTGCTAATTAGTTTGTTCATGACTTATCATGTCATCGTTGTTTGAGATCTTTCTGCAAGTTCCCGTTGGGGTATATTGCCTGTAAATCGTATGGGGACTAGAATTTTTCTTGATCACTCAATTCATCGCACTATTACAGTTCATTCATGGGTGCTTCATTTGGAAGCGCGGAGCATCGTGCGCTGTAGCGTTAGTCTGAGATGTGCCCGGATTTGATTTTTCGTGGTGCTGATTCTGCTCAATCGGCTCCTTCCATGCAAGCATACTGGAGGTCTTCGTTCTGTCGGATGTCTCACTATGACTCGAATATGTTGAGTAGTCTAGGAGTTAGAATTACTCGAGAACATCTAGGTGACTAAGGTTACTTCCCATATGCTGCTGGATTTTCACATTATTGCAATCCCGTTGGTGATGACCAATCAATGAGACAGCCAGCCCCTTGCTGTTATAGACTGCAACTTTGTGGGATCTGCAGTTGATGCTCTCCAGCCCTTGTACAAATTTGTAGAAATAATTTGAGAACATCATGGTTCCTCCGGCTAGAGCAGAGCTGAAAAGCACAGGAGCTTGCCGTTGGATAGAAACTTTCTATTTTTTGTCCTAGGAACGTTGTGCTGGGCACTGGTCGTCATGAATTCCTTGTCTATGAGGTTTTCCTCTGATTTGAAATGACTTGGTTGTTGTATTCCTCCATTAGAGATTTCTTGGCCTGGATTCCTCCATTACATGGAGGCAGATGGTCTTTAACTAGGTTATCAATTCAAATTTTCAATTTGTTATTTTCCGAACCATCACCACTGGTCACTGTATACAAGGAATGAGCAATCTAATTAAAATACGAGAACAAACCCATCCAAAACTAATCAACTTTTCCAGTTACTATTTCCTAACAGTTGAAGTCGTCCCAGCTCCAAGTATAACATAAATACGTACGAAATATGTAAATTTTACAGAGGTAGGGTGAAACGAAAGATTTCAAGCCAAATCAAATCAATAATTAGCTATTTAGCAATTGGGTTAAACGAAAGATTTTCCTCTCCTTTTTCTTCGTACGCCAGTCTGACGTAAAATGGCTCGAACTTGTTCATCTGTTTTCTGTTTAACATCTAAACAGAAGAAAATCAACTCTCTCAGGCTCCCTTATCCCAATTACCTGGATGCCTTTACTAATCGGATGCTTTTTTTCATTCTTCCTCCCGGTAGGTACTCTAGTGTATGACTTAATCTGCCTCTTTCAAAACCAGCACAAGTGACCAGCGTAGATTTGCTGATGGTATGGATGCTCGACCGAGAGCATGAAATTTTCTAATCTGCAATCACCAGCCCGTCAGGGATGTGTGGTACGAGTAACCCAGTAAAGCTTTATAAGAACTACTAATAACATTGGCTTGAGAAGATCCTCGCAAATTAACACAAACCCCCACCCACCATTTGCTAACATGGCAAAGCAAGAAAGCAAATTCTGGGAATTCCAGGGTTTAAGAGGAACCATGCTCCGATACACAGATGAGCATCCTAATGTTTGATCAGCTAATTTAAGTTCAAAGCAGTCTATTGTCTAGTGATGATAAAACTAGCAAGAGTATCAATATCAGCGATAGCAGCGCTCTAAGAAAAGTCTAAACATCAGCTCTGGCAGACCTCCTTCAGACAAATTCCTCCCTGCAAAACCCGCAACCCAGTGTCAAAACAATTTTGAAATTTCAACAGGGTATCTATAAAGAGGCTCCATCTTATTCGATAAGTTTCAATCAAGTGGCCAGTCAATCAAATTACTAAAGGCCTCCAAAAAAAATAAAACACACGGGCATGGATAAAGCAATCAAATTTAGGCTCCGTTTGTTTCGCAGAAAATGAATGATTTGGAAAATATTTTCCTAAAAACTATTGTTTATACAGCTTATAAAAAATGAATGAACAAAGAATATTTTGATCGTTCACGAAAATGTTTAGACAAACCATTATCAATAATGAAAACATTTTCCATCGACTATTTATTTCAAGCGATACAAATAATTATTTTTAGGACAATGTTTTCAAAATCATTCATTTTCCGCGAAACAAACGGAGCCTTGATCATATCCTATTTTAGTCAAGGAGGAATTTGTATGGGTTAAATAAGTAATGCATAGGGCACTCAAACAATTATCCGAATTTATTGAATAACTCTAATTTAGCCTCAAAACAATTATAAAAAAATGCACAAACTATTTACAGGATCATCACACAACATAATGCAGAGAATGGACACGATTTTCTTCTTGTTTTAAAAGATGATGAAGCTTTCACAGAACTGAATCTGGTTGACAGATTGTGCTCATATTAACAAGTTAGATAGATATCCACATCAAGCAAACGGAAAATGTAGAACTGGAATTGCAGTTAGGACAAACCTCAGACTCATGTTCTCTTGCGCTTGGTTGATTTGATGTTCTTCGCAATATAAGCAATGACCTCTTTCAAAGTGGCTTTTCTTCCTTCTTTGAAATTCCAGAGCTCGGGTACAATATACCTTCCGCTTGGATTATATTCATTCAGATCTTTCAAAGCTATGACAACTGCTGAGTAGACCTCATCACCCCACTCCTCCTTAAGCTTTTGTAGTTTTTCATCTTCTTCAACAACCATCGACTGCACAAGATTATTACCATTACATGGTGGTAAGAGAGCAGAAAGGCATAAAAAAGGCTGTCAATATTTAACCAAGACTCCATTGAGTACAAGGCCGCTTGTTTTACTGGAAGCCTGGGACTTATGGGCAGTGCCAAATGAGAAGGAGAACTATCCTTCCTAGTTGAACAGATAAGGATGGCATGTTGAGCAAAACAAGTTGCAGTTTTTTTTTTTCCAAATACGATACATAGGTGGAAACTTAAACCTAGCACTAATGCTGGTGAACCATGGCCTCAACCAACCTGGTCAACCCAGAGCTCCAAATCATAACGGATTTTAGAGTCCAGAGTGATGTCCAATCAAACTTGGACAGTCCGAATCAAACTACCACAATAAGTAATATCACCACTGGAAATTTAGCAAAAAGAAATAAATGAACATTTCATACCTGAATTTTCCCATCAATCTCAACGGTCTTGAATGGATGCCACTGCGAATTCACCTGTGACTGCCAGAAAGAGCACAATGTACTGGCCTGCAATTGTGCTTCCTGAACTGAAAATCTTTTCTTGCAAGCAGTAAGAAAAGGCTTATCATCAAGCTCCCCCATTCTTTTGATCCCAATAATTGTGCGTGCACCAAGCAGATCACTCAGACCCTTTCCAGAAACAAAAAGAATAAGTTGATATCTATTTCAATTCCGACTCCTATTACCAAATTTAGGTCTACCTGCCAACAACTTAGATTATTGGAACTTAGTTAGTATCACCCTATAAGAGGGGCTTCCTTTAGGTAACATGAAAAAATTTAAGTCCATTGTATTCACATTGCACTTCACTTCATGTTCAATTTGTCAAGTAAATAAAGGAATCATCTGATAACACTCTGATCTGTGAAAATTATGAACAAAAACTTTTCGCAGATTGGAGAAAAGGTGCAATATTCAGTCAGTGACAGTGACATAATTATACCCTAGTGCGTGGCTATGCACAGAAAATAGAGATAGTACCTGGATCAATTCCTTACGAGCTTCTTGCAGTTCATCATTGCTCTGGCGCTCTTTACTAATGAGGGCAGAATTTAGATCCTCCAAGCTGGTCAACTCCTCCTTCTTCTCTTTCAGTTCATCATTCATCTCCTTCATCTTCTTTTGAACAGCTTCATCATCTTGATCTTCAAGGTGCTTCATAACTTCTACTTTCCCTTTCAACTCTTCAATTTCCATTTCCAATTTCTGCTTCGCGTCAAGCTGCCGTTCCAACTCAAGGATCTTACTCAGGGCCTCCTCTTTCTCCCTCTAGAAATCCTAGCAGTGTCAGTCATGTATAAAGAAGAATATGCTATGGTAATCAAATGGAAGTTTTTTTTCACTCGCATTCACACCTTTTGTTCTTCCACCAGCCTGAGGACATTTTCATCAGCTCTTTTCTGCTCCATTGATGCCAACTGGAGAGAACTGTTTTTGACATCATTCTAGAAGGACAAATTAAGAAATCAGTATACATCTTGTGATGTGATCTTGACTAAATATGACATATGCCAATGCTTTCAGCGAACTACTAGAACCTGCCAACTGCTAAGTTTTCAATGCAATTGTCTGGCCTTAGTGAGTACAGAAAAGTAAGCACTTTTATTATTCAAACATTTTGGTTTCCTTTTCTTTCAGGCTCTTATCGTTTGAACAATAAAGAGCAACCGGTTATTTCCTTCTTAAGTACTATTCTCTAAGACGCATGCAGTAAAGAAGCTTCAATTTGACATGCCTGATGACGACTTTGCATCAATTGATGAAAGTGCTAAATTTGCCTGTGTTTCTATAAAATTGGTGATCGAGGCAGAAATGAACCAAAAACCACCCTTAAAAAGAATTGCACGTGAAGCGTAGTTACAACGGCTCCAAATATATATTAATTTAGTAAGGTAGCTAAAGGTGAAAGTAGGAAGTAAATAGTTTTGGCAAATAGTATGTTCACTTCGTGTAACCTTTTTCTTGTCCTCATCCAGCTTTTGTCTCTCACGCTCGGTTAGGGCTTCACGTTTGTTCAATTCTTTGCTCCAACAATCAATCTTTCTTTTCTTCTTTTCCAACTCATTGCTAAGTTTCTCCTGTTCTAACAATATCCTTTGTATTTTGTCACGTTGAAGGCGTTGCATCCTCCTTGTTTCTGGAAAAACAATAAAATACAAGAAAATTAAGTCATGTTTCTTTAGAATGAGAGCATGTAGCAGTCACATATAGAACTTAATGGGAATTCGAGTTTTGGTGCCAGTATCAGTCTTCAGGCTTATAAAAAAGTCAGCATGTGGAAAGTGCCCTCGACATAACATCTCTTTAGCTTGCAGCACTGACCACATAACTT